TGTTCAGCCTCAGAATACATTCAAGATTGACTCTCAGCATCCACAGAAGTGTCTTCCTTGCTCTCTGAGGATAGCCTCCACTCAGAGACATTGGTTTTGAGCATCTGTGTCAAGTGGTTTGGTTTCCAGGAAGCAATAAACCTCACGAAAAAACACACACAATAAATTAGTTTCAGGACAGGTCATGAGTGCAGCATCAGCTTAGAAAAGTTATTATTTTGGATGACATCCACAGGACCATTTCTCTCTTCCAAATGTGTCTGTAAAATGGGTATATTAAAGACAAGATCCAGAAAGTTCTTGTCTTTAAGGTGTGGTCAAGACTGTCTCTGCCTGCTTCCCCACTTAGCTCCTCCAAACTCTCTGACTCTTGTCCCATGGGGCCATCTTGACCACACTCTGATGTTAGCCGACTTCACATGTTCCAGTTTTCATCACTGAAATGTTGGATAATACGAGTCCTTTATGGTAATGTATTAAGTGGCCCTGACCTCATAAGACAAGAACTGGAGAGTTCATGGGAGCTGGTTGGAGAAGTGGGGAGAGAGTCCTGACTCATTCTCCACCATCCTACTTTTTCCATCAGCTTTTAAAACAGGCCTGGGCAAACTTGGGTCCTTCCAGTGTTTTGGACTTCAACTCTCACAATTCCTAACAGCCTCAGGCCCTTTCCTTTTCCCCCTCAGGGGCCTGAGGCTGTTAGGAATTGTGGGAGTTGAAGTCCAAAACACCGGAAGGACCCAAGTTTGCCCAGGCCTGTTTAAAAATGTCACCATTGGTTTCTTGTCTTCCCATTTTGCCTCGACACCCTTCAGTCATTCCTGAGTTCATAGCGCAAAAGTACTCCTCACTCATTTAACTCAACAGAGGGGAGAAAGGAGATGAGGAAACATCGCCATGTCCTTCTGTCTCCTAGCTTTTTTCTTGCTCGGATCAATAATGTCTCCCATCTTGACCACACTATTATGTTGCTTGGCAGCATTTGTATCTGTGAAATTTGGGTGGTATTATAAGGGTATGACGGCTTGGTATTCCTTTAGTCATGGACTAAACATCTGCAAAGGCCCCTTGCAGGTTAAACCACTGAGCTGCTGAAATTGCTGACCAAAAGGTTGTCGGTCCGAATCCTGGGAGCGGAGTGAGCTTCCACTGTTAGGTCCAGCTTCTCCCAACCTAGCAGTCAGAAGACACACAAATGTGAGTAGATCAATAGGTACCGCTTCTGCAGGAAGGTAACGGCAGTCCATGCAACCATTTATTTATTTATTTACAGTATTTATATCCCACCCTTCTCACCCTGAAGGGGACTCAGTGCGGATCGCAATGCACACATACACAGCAAACTTTCAATGCCGTTTTTAGATATACAAGACAGACAGACAGACAGACAGCTAGCTAGAGATATTTCGGCATTTTCCAGCTTTGGCGCCTGGAGGTTATGTTCGATTCCAGCCACAGAGGGGTGCTGTCACTTCATCCCCTATGCCACTGAGCCCTTTTGATCATATTTCCCCCTGGTTCTTTGATTGACACATTTTTATGGTGTTGCAAAATGCCTCCCCACTTTAAATGGCGCCTAATTTCTCTACTCACAGTTCAGCTGTTTTCGAACTGCTTACGTGGACAGTAAAATGGGCTTAACAGTTAGGTGCTCAATCTCATTCCGGTTTCGAACTTGCCACTTTCTGGTCAACAGTGATCTACTGCTGCTGGCAATTAACCAGCAGTGTTACAACTGATCACATGACCTTGGAGGTGTCTACGGACAACGCCGGTTCTTCAGCTTAGAAATGGAGGTGAGCACCACCCCTAGAATTGGACACGACTCAGGAGAAACCTTTACCTTTACTAAACATTGGCAAACCAAGATTTCACTAGTTGTTTTAATTTAGTCCATCTGAACTTACCGTGCTGGCCTCGAACATTTTTGCTGCCTGTGTATTTCCCCATCTGTTTTCCACTGCAAAAGTTTGATATCCTGATGGTTGAACTTTACTGGAGACAGAACAGTATCCTTTACTACATTTGTGAGCTGCAGGGAGGTTTAGGGGATGCAAAGGAGAGCAGGTCACAAAGCACATCAAACTTCCCAATTTTACATCTCAGCCTCTATGCCTTGAGGAAACCACCTCACTTTGATAGGGCCAGCTTTGAATACTGGCCCCTCTCCCCTCTATAGCTCTTCCAGAGTTACCAATGTTAAGTCATGGTAGTCCAAAATACCCACCCAAAATATTTTTAAGTCTCCCTTCTATTTGTGTATTTTACTGCTGTTATACATTTGTGATGTTGGCAAGGGAGTCTGCCACACCGGAAAGGCATACCAGGGGCTTCATGAATCTGGGTGCTGTCACCCTTCAGGCTAAGCAGGGTCATTTCTAGTGTGCTAGAATCCACCATTTTAATTTATCTAGAGCATTCAGGATTCAACAATGGGCCTTATCCCATTGATCTTGGTCAATATGAGCCATTCATGAATGTAGAAGTTGACCAGTTGGAACAAACAATGAAAAAACATGATTTTTTCAGTATTCATATTGATGAATATTATGGATGCCTTCTTTGCCTTCCACCCTCCTTTTGAAAATCCTCATAAAATAATTTTAGGTACAGTGCCTTATACTGAGTCACAACATTGGTCTGACTACACTGACTGTTGTCAGTGGCTCTCCAGAAGAGTTTGCCAGCCCTCTCCGGAAAGGGATTGACCCATTGGTAGCTTGTACATTTACTATTGCACCTCCTGGTGGTACAACGGGTAAACAGCTGAGCTGCTGAACCTGCTGACCGAAAGGTCAGTGGTTCAGATCCAGGGAGCAGGGTGAGCTCCTGCTGTTAGCCCAGCTCCTGCCAACCTAGCAGTTCGAAACATGCAAATGTGAGTAGATCAATAGTTACTGCTTCTGTGGGAAGGTAATGGTACTTGATGCAGTCATGCTGGCCATGGACAACACCGGCTCTTGGGTTTAGAAATGGAGATGAGCACCACCCCCAGAGACACAACTAGGTTTAATGTCAAGGGGAAACCTTCACCTTTATATTTACTATTAATTATTTGCAGCCGTTTCTCACATTCATTTTGTGTATTACTAGGTTAATCTCAAGAGCCTCTCGGACTTTTATTTTGCTTGATGGGTCTGCATGTTTGTTTAGACCAGAGTAGTCAGGGCAGCTACCCGAATTTTCAGAACAGAACTAGGCAAAATTATTTCTGTTAATCCTTTTGTTACTCTGGACTACAGTGTTAAATTCCATTGGATTTTTACCTATGACTGACTATTCAGCAACTGATTCAATAATTTTATTTATTTATTTATTTACGGTATTTCTATCCCACCTTTCTCAGCCGGAAGGTGACTCAAGGCAGCTTACAAATTGGGAGCAATTTGAGTCCACAACAGTCATAAAATACAATTTAAAACATTTAGCACAACATTATAACAATCTATAAAAAAAACATTCAAAACATATAATCACCAGTGTCTTCCTGTTAAACACACTTTTCCAGTAGCATTGTCTAGCGTCCCATGTTCACTCTTTCATAGTTCCATGTTTATCTATTACGCTGCATTTCCAAAAGCTTGTTCAAAGAGTCAGTTCTTTACTTTTTTTGAAAGTCTGGAGGGAGGGGGCAATCTAATATCCCTAGGGAGGGAGTTCCACAGCTGAGGGACCACCACTAAGAAGGCCCTGTCTCTCGTCCCTGCTAGACATGCCTGTGAAGAAGGCGAGATTGAGAGCAGGGCCTCCCCAGATGATATTAAGTTCCTAGATGGTTCATAAGGAGAGATACGTTCAGACAGGTTAGCTGGCCTGGAACCATTCAGAGCCATTTCTACACTGGATACTAACTAGTATTATTCAGGACTTGGTCACTGGCTGGGGACCCATTTCCTAATAGGGATCCATCAGTGATACTTGTTCTGTTATGGTCTGCTCTCTGAAGAATCTCTATAGGCTAGAAGCTCCAAGAACTGTTAGCTAGACGATCAGCTGTGAATCTTACATCATATCTGGCATAATTGGTGCTGGACTGTGTGGACTTATAAGGAGAACTGAAAAATATCAGGTTGAGAGAAGGTGGAAGAGCTATAAGAAGAATTTTCAAATTGTATATCTTGGAACCTTAGGGTTCTTGGTAGCACAATGGGGATTTCTTGCTCATTGAAAAGGAAAATGGGTTCCTTTCGAACTAGAAAGACCAGTAACCACTAACTGCAGTGATGCAAAAGTATCTAAACACATAGAAGTTCACAGATACAAATGTCAGTAAAACATAGGATTGTTACATTCACATTAAATAGAAAAAATTGTTCTTTTTTCAATAGATGAAAAAATTCTTCTTCACGTGTGTGGAAATAGTTCTTGTGTCTTTACTGCAGAGTAGACGCCAAAACCTTGCATAGTAGATGTCCTATTTTCTTTATTACACAAGAGTGGACTCCAACATTCACTCACAACTGGTTTCGACTCTCAGGAGTCTTCATTAATACACACATCTCCTGGGCAACGTCTTCGTAGACGGCTGATTCTCTCACTCCAGAAGCAACCAGAAGCAACTGGCAACATCAAGCTTGTATGTATGTGTGTGTGTGTGTGTATGTATATGTATGTATATATACTTACTCACTTATCAAAAAAGCTCAATATTTGAGGCAAGTGGTTTATTAACAGTGCTCGTGAAAAGTGGATCCTAAAGGGAACATACATCGTGACTTAAGGGAGTTCTACATAGTTACATGGAACATACATAGTTACATGGACCTTATAACATGCATAACAATTATAATATTCACAACAAAAATGATATAGTAATACTGCTGTGAGTAGTATCACTGCAGTTAGTGGATACTGGTCTTTCTGGTTTCTTGCTCATACCAGTCATGGCAGAAAGGGACATGCAAAGAGAGTTGTGAAAACTCAAATTGATGTGGACATGCGCTCTAGGAGGAGTGATTGTTGTGACCCTCTGGACTGACTCTTGCTTCTTTCTGCTGCAGGTCCTTGCGCTGCACTTGGCCAGTGACTCCCCCTGTCGCCTAGGATGAGTAACTGCAGCAGCCGCGCCTTGACCCTGCTGTCTAGTGTTTTTGGAGCGTGTGGGCTGCTCCTGGTGGGCATCGCTGTCAGTACGGACTACTGGCTGTTCATGGAGGAAGGGATTGTGTTCCCACAGAACCAGACCACGGAGATAGTCATGGCGCTCCATGCTGGACTTTGGAGGGTCTGCTTCTTTGCTGGTAAGGATTCTTGGAGAATATATTGTTGAAGGCTTTCATGGCTGGAATCACTGGGTTGTTGTATGTTTTTTGGGCTGTATGGCCATGTTCCAGAAGCATTCTCTCCTGAAATTTCTCCTGCATCTATGGCAGGCATTGTCAGAAGTCCAGGGTAGAAGAAAGAACTCTTGTAGGTGTGACTGTAGCAATTGGCCATCTTGATGAGCAACTCATTTTCCTAGTTTCCGACAGACCTCACAACCTCTGAGGATGCCTGCCATAGATGCAGACAAAACGTCAGGAGAGAATGCTTGTGGAACATGACCATACAGCCCAAAAACATACAACAATCTATTTTTGGAGAATATCTCCTACTTCAGCCTGTAGGAGGTCAACATCTCATCTGCAAGATAGGCGAGATCATAGCTTTTGGCTCTGATATTTATACCATGGTGAATCCTGCTCCAGGTTTAAATCTGAACCTTAAAGATGTCTATTGATACTGCTCAGCACCTTGGATAGTTTCTTTAATGTTCAGACAAAACCCCAGAGTTTAATCACCATTCCAAGCCTCTTCCACACATTTATATAACTCAAAATATCAAGGCAGATAATCCACAATATCTGTTTGAATTGGAATATCTGCGTCCACTCTGCCATATATCCCAGTTCAAAGCAGATAATATGGGATTTTATTCAGCTGTGTGGAAGGAGCCTTAGTGAGGAGGAAACTGCCAGACACCCCTGGGTCAGGGCTTTGGAAAGTTACTTCTCTGGAACTGATCTGCAAAAATAGCTCATGCTGGGTGGGATTTCTGGGAACTGCAGACCCAAAAAGTTACATTTCCATGTTCTCGGCAAGATCCAAGGTGCTTCATAACTCTTGCATAATTCTTCCAGCTTCCATAATGAAGGCTTTCAGATATGAATTTGATAACTAGTGACAAACCCATACATTGAAGCTAAATGTCATGCTCCAGTCACAAGTCTCAGTCTATATATACTTGCAGCCAAACTTTTGGAAATATGAAGTTGCAAGTCATAATTGACTTGCATAAAAGTGGCAGGTTTTTTTTATGGATCTTTGATTCAATTCGTCAACTCAGGCCTTGGGAAGGTCCTCCAGACACTCATAATTCAGAAAATGTAGATGATGAATGGGACCTTGGTGCTGTTTGAAAAGGATGGAAAGGTAAAGCTGCTTGAATGCTGGTAGCATCTACTTGATTTGGCAGGTTAAGAACTGCCATTGGTTTGAGGAGGTTTGGCCTACATTTCAGTAGAAATAATAACAATAATAATAATAATAATAATAATAATAACCAATGGCAGTTCTTAACCTGTCAAATTATTATTTATAGCCAGCTCTATCTCCCCGGGAGGGACTCTGAGCAGATTCCAAACAAAAAGTGGCAAACATTCAATGGCACAATAAAAACAAACAGATAGAGAAACCAAAACAAAATAATAAGTAAAACAACATCAATATAAACTTATAATAACTAGCCAAAATATATATAAGTACTTAAATAAATCTCATCAAACACATTTGCAACATAATAAAATCTAAACAACTAAAATGTATTAAAAGTATAGAATTATTTTATTTTATTTTATTTTATTTTATTTTATTTACAGCATTTATATTCCGTCTTCTCACCCCAAAAGGGACTCAGGGCGGATCACAGGACACATACATGGCAAACATTCAATGCCATTAGACAGGACAGACAACAGATAGAGGTATATGTTGGCATTTTTTCCCAACTTCAGCATCCCAGAGGTTGTGCTTGATTCTGGCCAGAGGGGGGTGCTGTCGCTCCATCCTCTATGACAAAAAGCCCTTGATCACAGATTTCCTCCTTGCTTTGATTGCCAGCATTTTTCTGGTATTTCTTTTTTATGGTGCCGTAAAATACCTACCCACTTAAGCGGTGCCTAATCTCTCTACTCACAGCTCACAGATGTTTTTGAACTGCTTAGGTGGACAGTGAGCTGTGCTAAAGGTCACCCCGACCCAGGGTTCGAACTGCCAACATTTCAATTGGTGTGATCTATTGCTGCTGGTGATTAACCAGCTGTGCTAAAACTCGGCCCATGGTTTACAGCAGAAAGGAAATCCATCTTCCTTTCAGTTTTGGAGCCACTGGGGACCTGTATCTCAAGGCTTGTCTGATTAGTTCAAATTATAATGCGATTTCTTTCCCATTCACACCTGCTCCAACATGCACATTTGGCTCCTTGAGTCCACAGTCCTCGTTCCACACATGCCAATATGTCACGGGTGAAAACCAGGACACGTGGCCATAATAGAAGGTGTTATTAATACTAAATGTCTTGCAGGCAAACAGAGGTTGCAGCACTTTGTCTTTGTCTCAGGGCCCTTCCACACAGCCTTATGTCCCAGAATATCAAGGCAGAAAATCCCACAATATCTGCTTTGTACTGGGTTATCTGAGTCCACACTGCCATATACTCCAGTTCAAAGCAGATAATGTGGGATTTTATTCAGTTGTGTAGAAGGGGTCCTAATGGGAAATGAAAGACTCTTCTCTTTCTTCTTGCTGCATTATTTTAGTGGAAAATGAGATTTGCATTTTGACCTCTGTTGCAGCAACTAAAGAAACCGGAAGGCAAAGTGGGAGGAAGATAAAGAAACCGGGGCATTTTAGAAGCATCTGAAAAAGTCAGATGGCAGAGGACTAATTGATACTGTCCTTATCACACTGGGAAATTTGGGAAAAAATGTTCTCTTTTCCATAGCCACTCCTGTCCTTCCCCTACACTCCAAGTCCCTTTTCTGTTTGGCCTTCCTTCTTTCAAATCTGTAATGATTTGCTTCTTTTTGCTGAGTCAGATTAGCCCATGAGAAGGTTTAAAAATAGATAGAAATGCAAACTTGATAAATAAAAACCAGAGGAAGGATGTAAATAGCAGGATCTATTGTTGGACTCTCAGTCACGGGGCCACCGTATACTGGAGCCAATACGATGGCACATGACAACAATAAATGAAAACCTTGAGTTTGACACATGTGTCATAGCCAGAAAAGCACAGAAATTGAGAGTTTTATTATAAGGCTCCTCCACAACAGAGATGCCTTGCACTTAGGCAAGTGACTAACAGTTTAGATGAAAAATCATTGGGATTATATCCTTTCTAGGAAAAAGAAATGTGCTCAGTTAGGGCAAGTACATGGGACACCCTGGTGGCACAGCAGGTTAAACCGCTCAGCTGCTGGACTTGCTGACCAAAAGGTTGGCAGTTCAAATCTGGGGAGAGGGTGAGCTCCTGCTGTTAGCCCCAGCTTCTGCCAACCTAGCAGTTCAAAAACATGCAAATGTGAGTAGATCAATAGGTACTGCTTCTGCAGAAAGGTGATGGCATGCCATGTATACATGCTGACCACATGACCTTGGAGGAGTCTATGGACAATGCCAGCTCTTTGGCTTAGAAATGGAGATGAGCACCACTCCCCAGAGTCGGACACAACTAGACTTAATGTCAGGGGAAATCTTTACCTTTATCTTTTGGGGCAAGTACAGCAAGGGAAATCAATGACCGGTCAATCCCTGAGAGAAGGCCAGAGGGAAGCCATTGACGTAGTCAAACCTCAGTGCAGCTCTCAAGATACAAACCTGCTTTCACTCCATTCCCAGAATTTGCCTTTCCTCTTAGGGCCCTTCCACACAGCCCTATATCCCAAAATATCAAGGCTGAAAATCCCACAATATCTGCTTTGAACTGAGTTATCTGAGTCCACACTCAGATAATGTGGGATTTCCTGCCTTGATATTCTGGAATATAGGGCTGTGTGGAAGGACCCTTAGTGACTTAATCGACTGCTTCTATTGCATGGCATTAATCCGCTTTCTTCTCTTGCAGGTCAGAAAAAAGGCAGCTGTGTTGCTTCTGAATACTTCCTTGAACCGAGGCCCGACCCTGATCCCGAAGGTCCTCTTGTTACAGAGAACACCGAAAACATCCTCAGTGAGTGGATCATCTTTCAGTTTGTTCAGCATTTTACAAAACATAGAGGCACAACAGTCCCTTAAGAGCAGTTCTTTCAGAGACGTCCCAGACACAAGGCCATTTAGGAAATCAACTATGTAAACAGCTCATTTGAAGGAAATAGCAGGTGTGCCTGGGAGTGTGTGTGGTGCTTTCCAGATCAGGACCATAGCCGGAGCAAAAAGGACCTTCCAAATTCTCCACACCAGGATCCTGATCTAGATTAATTCCTCTGGCATATCTTTCAAAAATTGGTGGTTATATGAGTGACAACTTGTCTTGTTTGGCTCACGAAGGCCATCACTTAATCTTAAGTGTGAAGAGTGGGGAATCCATGTTTACAAAGAGACCTGTTCAGTTTGGCATGAAGGACCAAGGACTTATAGTGGGCATGGGCAATCTTTAGCCCTCCATGTGTTTTGGACTTCAACTCCCACAATTCCTAACAGCCTCAGGCCCTTTCCTTTTCCCCCCTCAGCAACTTAAGCGGCTGAGGGGGGAAAGGAAGGGGCCTGAGGCTGTTAGGAATTGTGGGAGTTGAAGTCCAAAACACATGGAGGGCCAAAGTTTACCCATGCCTGACCTATAGTGAGGATGGTCTTCCATAATTCTCTAACCTGCATGTTGATTAGAATTCTGGAAAGTGCAGTGCAAAAAAAATAACTTTTCAAAGCTCTGTCTCTACTACTATTCAAGTCTTCTTTTCCTAAGAAAAGAGGGCAAAGGTCCTACAGATCCCCAGCAACAGTTCACATCTAGAGAGCAGACTGAGCACACCTCCAATGATCACCTGGCCATGTATTTCATTTCTATTTTAATTATATTTCTAAATCTGTGTCTCCACAGATAAATTAGCACATGAAAATTGTTTATGCAGCTCTTCTTCCTCTCTTCTTTCTCCCCTGGCAATGCAATAGCCTGCCCTCCACTAATTTCAAAGCTGAGAGGTAATTGTTTCTCTCGGGTCTCTTTCAACCACACTGTTGATACCAGTTTAACTGCCATGGCAGTGAAAAGTGGAGTCCTAGGGCCATAATTGGCTAGTGTTAAAGTTGTAGGTCCACAAAGCTCTTACTTCCTTTGCAATATATTGCCAAATGTTCAAAAGGCAGTGTGACAACTAGATCTTGTGAAATGAGCAGTGGCTGTTGTTCTGTCAAAGGCTTTCATGGCCAAAATCATGGGGTTGTTGTGAGTTTTCCAGGTGGTATGGCCATGTTCCAGAAGAATTCTCTCCTAACGTTTTGCCTACATATATGGCAGGCATCCTCAGAGGTTGTGAAGTCTGGTGGAAACCCCATTTTCCTAGTCTCCAGCAAACTTCACACCTCTGCTGATTCCTGCCATAGATGCAGGTGAAATGTCAGGAGAGAATGCTTCTGGAACATGACCATACTGCCTGGAAAAATCACAACAACCCACTGAACAGTGGCTGTTTGGAAAAAGAGTTGATTGAAATGAGATGAAATCAAACATTTAGAAATCATGAAGAATGACAACTACACCATTTAAGATGTTGTCCCAGCTGAAATCTCCTCCCAATATCCAATCATGACTCCAAGGAGTTCAAGAATAGAGCAGAATTTTCTCCCGACTTCACAGCTATTGATCTGCAGTGGACCTCAAGGATGAGTATGGATTTGAAACCAGGCTTCCCCGCTTTTGCTCAGAAGTGGAAACCCTACACAGCTAGCACCTTTCTGCATGCAACTCCTGTGATCTTTCTTCTTGGAGGACCAAGGTTCAAATCCTTTCTCAACCTCATGCCCACTGGAAATCCCAAATCTCTCCCTCAACTTTGGCTGAGAAAAAAAATTCTAGGAGACTTCCAGAAGTATCCAATTTTGGATTGCTATGAGTATCCATTTTGCTTTAAAACAAAATGCATGCTCAATCCATGCACCTTGTTTTACTCAAACCACCCCCCTCCATATGTTTACCAAAGATAGTGTGGACTATTTTTCCCCCTGGAGTTTGGTGGACTGGTCCCCAATTGGCTTCTAGATCTCCTAAGCTTGTCCACCCATATTGTAACCACTCTCCCCTTTCTGGCTTGAATAGGGAAAAACAAGGATGATTCATTTTCTAGGCACAGAGACCAGAAGGTGGGGTGTTATAAACAGGGATGGTAGGATCATAGGCATCTTTGGACTGTACATGTTTGCAGATACATACTCAATTGTAGCTGATGTTGTCCTTGGTAGCTAGTCTTATGTTGTCTAGTAATAAACATATATGTGATTGAAGTCTGGGAGTTGTGACCTGGTGCATCCCCAGATCAAGCCTCATTCCAGCCACGAACCTGATCAGAACACCATTGTTTCAGTCTGGGCTGGCCATCTAGAATACAAAGCCCATAAGTCAATGGTTCTCAACCTGTGGGTCCATAGGTGTTTTGACCTACAACTCCCAGAAATCCCAGTCAGTTTATCAGCTGCTAGGGTTTCTGGGAGTTGAAGGCCAAAACAACCGTTTTAGAACCACTGCCATAAGGAAATATAACAGTATGGAGCTATTATTTAAAAAATTACTAAAAACATAGCTCAGTTCAAATGTCACAGCAAAATGGGCTCCAAGCTTCTGTACTTACCCTTCACATGCTCCTGAGTCCTATTCCTCGTTTTTTGGTTCACGGTAGTTCTAGTTTGCTGTGATCTCCAAAGCAAGTTTTGTGTCTTTCTATGAACTTGGGTGAATGGGATGTTGTTCATAGACAGTGTCTAAAAACATTGAAGTGCTATCAGACTTAGACCCCTTATGGCCTTTCTATCTCTTGGCAAGCAGTACTGTATGTATATGTGACCAACCCCTAAACCTACTGGTTTCCCCCAGATATAGGCTAAGCGTTGATGTCAGGACGAATTGCCAGTCATCAATGTCTGTATGTGGAATGAAGGGTGTTTGTGTGTCTAATCTTGTCATTTGTTTTCTGCTGATCCAACTATTCTCCTTTTAAATCAGGAGTGGGGAAGATGTGCTGCACATATTCTTTATGCAGCCTGCAACCCCTGTTTTGCAATCCTTGAGATTGGCAATGCTCCTAAAGGCCTGTAAAAACTGTAAATTTCCATCTCTAAAAATTATCAAACTTTCCCCAGAGGCAAGCATGACTTGTGGTTGGGATGTAGTGGGAGATTTGCCTCCATAATCTTCAAAATTGCATCTTCCTCCACACTGAATTTTGGGCAGAATTTGCAAGTGATGCCATGTCCTTTCTGTGTCACCTGTGATGCCTTCATATATCCTAGTGGATGTGTGCAGGTTCGTGACCCTTCTCTGTTCAATGGGGGAGTCTACCCAAGACATCTGCCCTCAATTGATTGCTTTGAGTCTCCTTGAGAGAAAAAGCAGGGTAATAATAATAATAATAATAATAATAATAATAATAATAATAATAATAGGATCTGGAACACAGATAAATCTAAGCTTTCATGGAGGCTTCTACTTACATTCAAGACAGCATAAGAAGACCCCCCCCCCCTATACTTCTTTGCTCAACCTGAGATGGTCAAGAACATGGGTTGTGGAATTGGTGTTCATTGTTCCCATACTTCCTTCTCATGATAATGTCTACTATCACACTTAAACTTTTAGAATGGCAAGTGAGATCAGGCCTTCAAAAACAAGCCTTTTGGACCCTTAGAACCTCCTACCGGCATGATGAATGCATTTTAGTCCCAAAAAGTAATTTTGTGAATGGATTACCTTCAAACCAGAACTATTTATGTTAGTTGCAAACTATAGTTTGCAGTTCTGGTATGGTAGAGGTGAAATATGTTTTTATTTTGGTGTTGTAATGTGATCTGGGCTAACCACACTTTGTCCAACTGGGACATGATGGCAAAATACAGTTATCAAAACTAGGGATAAGATGGTAGAAGAGGAAGAGAGGCCAGGAGAGGGGAGAAGGGCGGGAACCAGAATAATCCAAGCCAGCGTCCAAAGAAGACTGTGAAGTGCCTCAATGGCTGAGAGGGAAAATAAATAACGACAATGATTTCATATTATATGTTTGTTTATTTTATTTCTCCGAGCTGTAGGAATAGTGACAGGAGCACCCTCTGGTGGCTCCACCACAATGGTTAGCTTTGGGAAAAGCTGCAGAGGCCTCTGTGACACAGAACCGTCTCCCACTCTTGTGGCATTACACTGCTTTTGTAAGCCAAACCTCACTGATTTCAGTGGAACTTGTTAACAAAACAGTCACTATCCAATGGCCCTAGCTGGTGAAGCCATAGCAGCCCAATCTTGGATCCCTGCAAAGACTACAGCAAGTCTTAGTACCTTCGCCCCTTTCCGCACATTTCCAGCATGCTGCAAAAGCTTAAATGGATTTTAATAGCCTAGACTGCAGAGCATTGCAGCAAAAATCCAGTAGCAGATAGATATAAATGGGTAGATGTTTGCCAGTAGGCCGATAAATAGATAGCTAGGCAGGCAGGCAGATGGACACTGGCTACCTTCAACCTGCACAATCCATTCAATGTTGTGGCCCAACACAAAAGCAAGAAAACTCCTGTTTTTTGCTTCCTGTTTGCAAGGGACTGTGTGTGTCAGGAAGGACAGCCAACTGGCGGCCACATAAGGCTTCAGCACCTTGGAGAGCGTCTTTGACTCCAAAAGAATAGAGACTAGATTCATCACGCCTCACAAAGCTACCATTATTGACGACAGTTGGTTTGGTGTAGGGGTTTAAGCACTGGACCATGATTCTGGAGACTAGGGTTCAAATCACCGCTCTAGCATGAAATCCATTGAGTGACCTTGGGCAAGTCATGTGCCTCAAAGGAGAATATGGGAAATTGGGAAAGGGAACATGGTTGTACAACCCGGAAAACTCACAACCATTTAGTTGAGAAGAAAATCTAGTGATGAGTTTGCCTCATGGTTGCCATAGGTCAGAAACAACTTGAAGGTACAACAACAACAACAACAACAACAACAGCAACAGATGATATGGAAAAACGGGACAAGATTCC